TCCTTTGTTTGTATTTACATGCTCCCTATGTTTGTTTGATTGGGTATGGTTATACCCTTATGTTTATTTGTTGTTTGTAAAGCACTTTGGATCTCTGTGTCAAAAAGGTGCTATATAAATAAAGCTTTACTTACTTACTGTGATATGGCTGCACAGAGCAGCAATCAAAAATCCACCTTTATAGCCTTTTCCAACATTTAGATTTTAATTACTGAGTGACATCTGTTATGTATATTTCATATTATATTCAATTTACAACAATAACAGTATAGAACAACTGATAAATTGTACAATGAACCTAAACAATGAACACAGTACCTGCAGAAATGTTGTTTAAAACCAGAGATTTGGATGAATTCTGAGCAGATTATTTCCTGTGAATACTGATCAGATGATTTTGGGAATGTTTTGTACAATCCTGCATCTATTATCTATTTTTGTACTTTAACAATCACACATACATAATAGGTTTCTTTTTTGACAAATACATGGTTTTCTCCCTGAACCCTTAAAATCAAGAAGTGATTTCATTTTACGAAAAGTTTCAACTGGAATTGTTCTTTAGTGCTGTTCTAAATTGTTGGAATACCCCTTTAAAATAGGGGCCATGTATCACTCTGGCACCTGGCAGCAATGATCAGTCATTACTTCCTTCTAGTATTCTGATCATCTCCAACAAATGCCTATAGTCTCCTGGTAACATATTTATTATCTTGGCCTCTATGTTGTCAAACAGGCCAAACTGGATGTATATTGACACTTGCTGATTGTATTTCTCTGCAAGGGCGGAGGTAAAGGGGTACCTGCCCTCACAGAACGTGCTCAAAGGTAAAGCTGAAGAGATCCACTCTTACTGTCAGGCCCAGATGATCAACATGCAGTCCATCAGCCCTCAAGATGCCAAAATACAATTCATTGGTGGGTAACTCCTTTCCTCTCCTCTCCTCTCCTCCCGTCTGCTCTCCCTTCTTCTCCTCTCCACTCCAGCTGAAGATAAGTGTCTTTGTGTGAATCCTGTCTTTCAGAGTGTCTGAGCACCCAGCCTTTGTTTGGCTCTAACCTTTTTTTGGCCCAGAAGGTCAGCCAGCATGGCTGTCCCTCCCCCTGTATGATCAGCATCAGCCAGGAGGGGGTGCTGTTCCTGCACCCCAAAACACAGGTACCTTCAGCTGTTCTCAGTGTCTGTCTGTATGAGTATGTCATTTCCTCAACAGTAAAGACAAATTGCAACCAGATTTCATTCTAAAAAATATTTTTTTATTGTTTTGTTTTTTATCATGTACTGCCATATTTGTTAGCATTATTTTTCCTGGTTTAGGGGTACACTTTTCTTCCAACCGCTTTGCTAAACAGAGTAGAAATTCATGCCCCATAACAACTGCCTTTTGTCCTTTTAGCTTCTCCTACCCATTTAAAATCTTCAGGGATGTTTCTTCAGTCAGAAGCAGTTCCGTCTGAAGCAGCATTTAGCCTGTGTTTGAACCCAAAGGTCTAATAAATGCTAATAGAACACGCCAGCAGCTAGTCAGCGTCCCTGGTGGATAACAGAAGTGTATTATACTCATGTAAAAAGCCAGTTTCAGCTCATCATTTGTGTTTCTACTGCAGGAGCGAGTGTTTCAGATTCTCCTGGCAGACGTGCAGTCCATGCAGACTATCCCTCCCAAGAAAAAAGGCAAACCTCCAGCTATGAACATCAGTTATGGCAATCCAGTTCATCCCAAAACGATCACCATTTATCTCAAAGAGGTAATGACTTATAGTTGTGACTGCATCTTCATATTACTGTCTTTTACAATCTGGGTCTTATTGCTGTACTTCGGCTACTGTAGAGGTAATGCGGTTGAGACAGGACTGACACTCTCATAATGGGATGATCCAAATATTAATCTAATTCCGCTCTAACATTGGGACTCATGAAAGAAGATATAACAAATGTTAACTGTAACTGTTACCTTTTTTGGTATTGTGATTATGTAACTCAGTTACATGTAATCCATTACTCCCTAACCCTGGTTTGCATTCAGTTTTTTATCATATGTATCATCAATATATGAACTTCATATAGATCTCTTATACTTTTACTTTAATACTGTATTGAGCTATTCATTTGTTATTTGGTGTGTTTATTTTTATATTGATATTTTTATATTATATATATATATAATATATTCTATCTAGCATACCTCCAGTTCTTGGCTATTTGTCAGAGTATTTCTACATGGCACATCACCTGCCCTTATATATATATATATATATATATATATATACTAAAAACTTTCCTCTCACCCTCTTG